TAGGCGTGGGAAGAGGCTCCGGAAGGTCAGGGGAGAGAAAATAACTGCTTTTTGCTGGTTTGTTTCCAATTACGATTTATTTATTTATTTATTTAAAAGCTGCTGATATCTAGCCGCATAATGGGTATTGATGCTTGTGTACCTAAGCTGTTAAAATCCAGCGCGGCTCCTCTGGATGCGAAGCTGCTATTCACCCATTTTTTCACGACATCACTTCTTAAGAATTGGACCAAGGGAGCTGTTTTCTTACTGTTGATTTTTTTTTTTTTTGAATGCTGCATGGTGTTTTGTTTTGTTCCCCTGCGACAGCAAAAACAAAAACAGGGGGTGCAATGCTCTGATACAGAAACCCTACCCCCAGGAATCCAGTTAGACTTTACGTGCACAGATCAAGCCCAAATGGCGTTGGAACACTTTAGGATATGGTTTTTATGCAGTATTTGGAGTATCTAGGTGCCCTTCCTGTTGTATAGGTGGCTTTGCCGATATACACTTACATATTTAAGTTTGTCTTGCTGTTAGCAAAGCACCTAAACTAAATTGATCTGGACAAACCTCAAACCTCTTAAGAAAATAGCAGTGCTCTTAACCTGGCAGAGAGCTATTAGGATACTTCCTAGCACCATTGATCTAAGGCAAACAAACACAATCCAATAGTCCAGTGGTTGAGGTCCTCGTGTGAGATGAGGGAAATAAGAGTTCAGTTTCTTGCTCTGCCTGCTTTAGGGCAATATTTACAATGGATTGCTAGTTATTTCACTGAGAGTGTATAGCAAGTTTGACAGTTTGTTAAGCAAGCGGGAGAGTTGGCTTCCTTAAGCTTACTGGACTAGGGCTATCTGTATCTCAGAGGAAGGGTCTATTCTGCAAGTGGGTGTTTTTTTTCCCTCCTTTCTGTCTGCTATGAGGTACTGCATATGTCTGGATGAAAGTTTTGAAATGCTTCCTGTGGCACCAGAAAAACCCTGAACCCAAAACATAAAATGCCATCAGGCCTAGGCTGATTTTTTTTTTTTTAATCAATACACTTCATAGAGTGGTGGTAGGCTGGACACCATCCAGTGCTTATACCAGCAACAAATGAATCCTGCAATCAAGGAATGCAGATGGCTTAAAGCTGCCATTAAATTCACTCTCCTTTTCTGACTGCATCCAGTTTGCTCCTAAAACCTTGTCCTGATGTAGTTATTGCTATGTATTGAAGTTAATGGAGGATATATAAATAGTCAGTTGATGATATTTTCTTAGAAACTGAGAGAGGTGAGCTCTTTCTAAAAATGCTGCTTTATATAAGGACTTATAGACTTATTTTTGTGTCCCAACTGTAAGAAACAAAATGCAAAACAAAATCTTTTTTAGAAACATAAAATATTGGTGTTATAGGATTGATTTTACTGTCTCAGTGATGCAGCACAAGTTGCTATAACTTGGAGTTCATAAACCTGTGCATCTGTGTAAAAGAATATTTTGAAACTAGCTTATGAGAGAAGAGGTATCGTAAGTAGCATAAGAGTGCAGGTGTGATTTCCAGTACTTAAAACGTAACCAGGCCTGTTTCCTACTGCTCTAAAGCAGTTTAAATGTTGGGGTTTTGTTTTAGTTTAGGTGCATTGCAGACAAAAGAAAATCAGGTCTGTAAGACTTGTTTTCTTCCCTATAAGAAGTACTGATACCTTTGGTGAAGTAAAGGAAGAAAACAATTCAAGCACCTGCTTGACAAGTACAGATACAGACTTCTGAGAGCTCCTGCCGTGGGCTGAGAGGCCTTTAATGGGATTCCTCTGAAAACTTGTGCTTTAATATGAAATGTTTCAAATTCTACTGTTACAGATGATTTTTCATCTCTGCAGTGTTTTGAAAGGATATGAAAAGCATTTACTTCTTCCTAAGTCCTTGTCAGCCTTTGACTGTTGATAATGAGACCTTATAGTTTGCTCTCCCTTGTTCCAGGGAGTTCCACATGCATGGAAGAAAAAGCATGTTTCATAAACAGGAGAATGTGACTACCAAACCACAAAAACAGGCAATGTGGAGTTGGAGTCATGTCTGTAAAGCTATTTTTAACTCCATTTTGAAATTCGATCAAATGACTTGTTTATTGTGATCCTGTAGTATTTCTTCACATATATTGCACTCTTGTAATAACTTACCTCTGTTGGAACTTAAGCATTTATTAAGCATTCATAACTCTACGTGTGTTTTAGTTTACCAGGAAGTTTTACCTTGCTATGAGAACCTAAGATGGATCCAGAGGAGCAGGAGTTATCTGGTGATTACAGATATAGAAATTATTCTTCGGCAATTGAGAAAGCTTTGAGAAACTTTGAATCATCAAGTGAATGGGCAGACCTTATATCTTCCCTTGGAAAACTCAATAAGGTATAGTATGACAAAAACAAATGAAAATAAAGTTTTGTTTTTTTTTTGTTTTGTTTTTTTTGTAAATTGCAGTACTTGGCACAGGTGAAAAATCAGCCAAGTAGTGTAGAAGAGAAAAATACCAGCTAGCAAAGGGAATGTTAAGGAAGTAACTAAGTCAATGCCTTTATATGAATGTGATAAGTTCTGGTAAAACCAACAATTAAATCTGCTTAAATCTGTTTTTAATCCCCTAAGCAACAAAAACCTCAGGTTGGTAGTTAAAGTCAGTCTAAAGCAGCTAAATAAATACTCTCCTCTTGCTCTAGAAACAGGGCGTGTGCTATTTGTCTCCCATTCAGTCTCTTAAAGCTCTTTATGAGCATATATGAGAGAATAGTTATAGACATCTAGGAAATAGTATGAGAGGAGCTCTATCAGCGTTCATAAGAACATACTCGTAGTTACCAGATGGATACCTTGCATGACTTGGTGTGGCTGCTAAACCTTAATTCTTCAGAGTTTCCTGTGGGAAGGAGAATGCAAACTGAAGTTGAAAGGAGAGAAGCTGGATGTTAGTAGGGCAGTAGGAATTACGAGTTTCTGCCTTCACTGTTTCTCCCTGGTCCCTGATGATAGGTACAAACTGTGGCCCTTGATTATAATTTGAGGCCTTCAGAATGCTTCCTTATTTTATTTTATTCATTTGAGAGTGAGATGATACTCGCTAGTGGCAAGTAGACTTTCATTATTATTATTTACCCTTGACCAAGAATATGCACTGTGACTGGTTAATGTCTATCTGAAACTCAGGTATAGAACTGCCAAAATACGTGGCCGCATAGTGGAAACAGAAAAGCTTTTAGTTGCTATGTCGGTCCATCTGTTGTGGTATTTTATGGACTTAATCTTCTTAGAAGCATAAGAATTTGTAGAACAAATCATCCTCTGTGTTCATCTGCTTCTGTCTGTTATCTGAAAATAAGAGTGATGTCAGATAATTCAGAGGAATATTCCGCAAACGGAGGATTGTGAAATAAGTTGGCAATAGCTGGACTCTTAACTCCTATGATTCCCTGGTCTCATATACCCTAAAGCATAAACATTGCTGTTGAGTTCTGTTTGTTTTCAGTATTTTGCTAACATGAGCCTGTCTAACTTCTGCTGCAGTCAGCTTTTGTCATCTGAGGATAAATGAAAGAACAGGGAGAGAATGAGTAGGAGGGAGGAGATCAACAGTATCTCAGTAATTAAAATATATTGTTTAGAATGTATTTTAACACTGCACGATACCATATTCAGAAAGCTGGGTGTCATTAACTGATGTTTAATGATGTCTCTTACTAAGCAAGTGATATCTATTGCTAAGCAAGTGTGAAATGCTGAATAAGCAGGAGGAGAGAGAAGAAGAAAAGAAAGACAAGGAATCTGAGATGAACTTGTCATGTTTCTGGAGTAGTATGGAAGAAGCCTATAATATCCCTCTTAAAATCCCTTCAGGATTTATGTACTGTTCTCCTTAACTGTGGGTGTTCTTGCTTATACACTTGTAGTATTTTCTCAGGCTTTTGCTCCTACAAGCATGCTTCACTGATATTTTGCAATAATGAACATTACAAGTTAATATATGCTTATAAAACTATTTCCACAGAATCTTTCTGGTTTTACCCTTTCAGTACAAGGATTGGAAGAAATAGTATGAGTTTTCCATGTTTATAGGTCAGGGAAAAAGAATAAAGGGAGCTAACCTAGATCCAAGCTTCAGATTTTTGCTGCTGTGAGGCAATGTAACTGTTTAGCCTTACCTGACGCAAGTGGTTTTAGATCTCTTGCTGGTATTACTTCGGGGGAAACGAGACAGCTCTGCTGTGTCTCTCTATTGCTACTCAGCCACAAGGTTAAACTGAAGGTTCTGTTTTCCTAGTTCCTCTGTTGCTTCCACAGTTTTAAAACCCACAGCCAAACAGCTGTTTCATTATGGCTTTTAGAAGCACACATGCAACAGAGAAACTAATTTTCATCTGAATGATTAAACAAACGGTGGCTGGTTTATAGATAAAAGATTACTTTGTCACTTAAGGGAAATGAGTCTTCCCTAATGTTAGGTGTCTTTGGTATGGGCAACTTTGACTTCAATCCCTTCTAGGCAGGGAAGGAGACAAAAGGGTTCTTTCTGTGACTCATCTCATCCTAGGGCAGACATTTGAAGTAGATCAGATGAATCCTGTTCTAGGTTCGCATATAGCCCTTACTGGCTTCAGAGCAAGCCTGAGCTAAAGCAGTGCAATTTGCCCATGAGCCAGACCCCTAAGGTTAGGGGAGGTGACTCTCCTCTGTAGTGTCCTGAACGGACTTGTTAAAAAAAAAATCAGCATCTCTCCAGCCTTCATGCTTGTTCACACTTGGTTACTACAAAAGCTCAAGTCAGCAGAAGTTGCTAGTTTATGCTGCAATTCGCTAATCAGTATAGTTTTTGTGTGTGTATTATGCATCATCACAGTGAAAGGGAAGCATCAGAAAGTAGTATTTATAAATGATTTTAGATGAGAGAAGGATATAAGTGGCCAGATGGGAACAGGTGACCTTAAAGAGAAGACAAATATGGATGTTAATGTTTACAGAAGAATTTCAGCTTTACTGTGAAACCTATTCATATCATAGTTGTGAATCTCTTTCTGTGTTTTCTGTTGAGTCTTAGTGCGAGTTAAGGTAAACAATTCATTTGGTAGCTGCACCCCCAAACCTACATATATATATATACACACACACATACACCTATATATAAATGCATATATATATATATAATTTTTTGAAAATACTGTGTTATGCCTAAGGTTTTTCAGACACTCAATACAAATTACTGCATCCAAAATTCAGTAGTCATTTGCTGTAGTCTTTGTGCCCAGGTGTGATTGTGCTGTTACAGAATTTGCTAGCCTGTTTTGATGTTGGATAGGATACAACTCTGCAGAGTCTTTTGATAGAAGAAATTGCTGTTTTTTTTCCTACTTTTTAAACTTAAAAATAGATGATGGTTCAGAATGTGTGGACTTGTCAGTGAAACAGATGCTTTCTACATATGGATGTTAATGTTTACATAAGAATTTCAGCTTTACTGTGAAACCTATTCATATCATAGTTGTGAATCTCTTTCTCTCTGTGTTTTCTGTTGAGTCTTAGTGCGAGTTAAGGTAAACAATTCATTTGGTAGCTGCACCCTCAAACCTACATATATATATATATACACACACACACACATACACCTATATATAAATGCATATATATATATATAATTTTTTGAAAATACTGTGTTATGCCTAAGGTTTTTCAGACACTCAATACAAATTACTGCATCCAAAATTCAGTAGTCATTTGCTGTAGTCTTTGTGCCCAGGTGTGATTGTGCTGTTACAGAATTTGCTAGCCTGTTTTGATGTTGGATAGGATACAACTCTGCAGAGTCTTTTGATAGAAGAAATTGCTGTTTTTTTTCCTACTTTTTAAACTTAAAAATAGATGATGGTTCAGAATGTGTGGACTTGTCAGTGAAACAGATGCTTTCTACATAACTTTCATATCTTCTATGTAGAGTACATAGCATGCAATCATGTAGAGGGGCCTTCAGAACATTTTTCAAGCCTCTTGATTGCCTGAAGGTATGAAAATCCAATTGCATGTTTTTTTTCTGAATGCTTTTTATCTAGATCATAGGCATGCATCTTTCTAGGCCTTTTAAATGTCAAGATGCAAGAAAACAATAGGTAAGTACCACTGCTTGCCAAAGGGCACACTGAACAATAGTGAAGACTAGATTCTGCAGCCTGCTTTTGTAAGGAAGCTAGCAAAGAAGATTTTCAAAACAGTCTGTAAAACTTACTGATTTGCAGAAGAGCACAAAATCTTACTGGATTTTGGAGGGTGAATGTTTAAATTCCCCTGTTTGCAGGCATACTTAATCTGCATGCATCAAGAAGACTGTATCTTTTTGACAAGAATAATGGACATAATTTTATCATGAATATTGAAATAGCTGTATAAACTATTTTTAACAGTTGTTGAATATCATTGACATGGAGCTTGCATGGAAGCTTCTGTAATGACTCTCAGTTACTGTTATAATTACTGTTTTCTGTGAAAACAAAATATTATGAGCTTTGAAAATTAGTTACTATAGAAAGACTTATTTCATGCTTACAGCATGGTTGATTTGCTCAATAATAATAGCAACATTTGTTCTAAAAAATCCTTTACATTGCCTTTTATCATTGGATATAACACAAGTGTGTAAATAGACAATTTCTCATTTCTTGCAATACTACATTTTAGTCTTCAGTCTGCAACTTCAAGGCATTTTTTTTTGTTTGACTTTCAGTAAAAAAAATGGGAATGTTACTTTTTTGTTTCCATAGCCTTTACTTGTATCAAAAGCTTGAAGTTTAATATAATGACAACTTAGGACCTGTTAGGAGTAGAAGGGTGAGGAAATCTGAAAGTCTTGCAGCTACACAACTTTTATTTCAGTAGTAGCACTTAATATTACAATGTCTTCCCTCTTGACAGCAGAGTAGTCGTCGTCTTAAACTACGAGCATAGCTGTGTCTCTGTGAAGACTGTTGGTAAAGACAGCACTTGCCATCTGTTGCAGACAGGCCTTCTTGGAGAAGGAAGCCTTTGATTCTAATTGCTTTACGGAACATTACCACACCCAATGCATAAACGCAGTGTGCAGCACTGGGGATACATTGTAGTGATAAAACCAGGAGTGGGTTTCTTTCTATATATAACTAATGGTTTAGTAGTTTCAGCTGTTAAGTTGGATATGACTCCAGCTCCAGTTTGCTTTTCTCACTTGACAGAAGTGAGAACTTCATGATGCCGGCTTTATGGAAGCTCGAGCTTTGTTTAAGATATTTGTATTTGTTCCTCAGAGGAAAATGGATCGTGGGCTCTCCTTCTCCCTTGTCCTGCCACAGCCACTGTTGTCTAATGCAAGAATTACAGTAATGCGTAATTGTAAGGAGTTTTATAAATTGAGGGCTATACTGCATTTTTCTCTAGAATTATGATTATGTGTACAAGTATTTAGTTGACTTCCAAAAACAAAAAATCTTTGTAGATTATCAAACTGTTCTCTGATGGTGCTATAAAACAGCATAGACTTCTTAAAGTTAAATTTAGTTGTTCAGAATGTTTTAAGCAAAAATTGCCTATACAGTATTCTCTTTTTCATAAAAGCAAAATGTTTACTTTATGGAGAATGCGTGGCGTTTGAGAAGCAGAACAATGTATTCATTAAACTTCTATTTTAGGCAAGCTGTTCACTAAGCATAAATATCTAAACTTACACATAAGTGTATCTAACTTTGTCCACTAAGCATAGGATGTTCTACTAGTTCTCAGGATGAAGTAAGTCTAGGCTATTTGCAAACTTATGGCTATAGTGGGAAACGATGTGTTTTCTGTGTGTTGCCTTATCACTAAAGAAAGAGGAGAGTTAGATGAAAAGGTTTTCTGGTCAGGGAAGTTGAGGAAAATGAGCTTTTCATGAGCTAGCTATGAACCTACTACATTATAAAATCATTCAGTATTCATCCCTCTCAGGAGTTACGCAAGTTAAACTTTAAACTTGATGCAGAAAGGGAGAATTTGTTAGGAAAGTTAGCTATAAATCACAATAAATCTCTTTAAATCTTAGGTATTATACAGAGATGTCTTCTAATTCTTTCAGAGAAGCAGTGTGAAAATGTGGTCTTTTTCTGCATTGTTCTTATCCCCTGAAATTTGGATATATACAGATTTCAGTGTTACACAAGGGAAATACTTAACATCGAGAGATCCCTGAATATCAGCTATTCAGCTCTTGAAGTGGCTGCATTGTTTGTTTCCTTCCCCTTCTTCCCCTTCTGACTGGGTGTTTTCCATATTTATCACTGATGTTTGAGGTGGGAAAGTTTTCATTTGTTGAAGGAGCCTTACTTTACATCCTTAGGAGGTAAACTAAGTCAAGTGAGATGCCTCCTAGAAAAAGATATTATTTCTATAATAGATCTGACTGCTCCTGATGTAATAAACAGGCACTTTTTTTCCCTCAGCTAGTTGATATTTAAAATTTAACTGATAGAATATTAAAATATTTGCTTGATCTTAAGATCCAGGCAAAATATTGACAGCTGACATGTTTTTCTATGTATGCCAAGGGTGTAGATATTTATATACCAACCAATATAAATACCGTGTTGTAAAGTCCAGTTTTCGAGCAGTCTTCAAAGTGCTACAGACTTTCTAATCCAAGAAAGCAACATTCCACATATGAAACTAAGGCAGGTTGTATTTATGGAGTTATCTTTATGCTTGAGAGATTTGAATTATTTTAAGACTTTTAAAATACAGATTCCATGCTTACAGTGGCAGGAGGAGGAAGGGAAATTAATTGGTTCTTAAGGTACCTCTGCTGCCATAGTATTTCAGTATGGTGTAATGTTTCTGTTCGCTGTTACGAACTTGCAGCTTTTTCCTTCTTTCATGAAGTTTCTTTACTAAAACCTGTTTGCTAAAAACCGGTCACTGAACTTAAACAGAGCAGCATATAGGAGAAACACGAAATGGTAGCCCCCCAGATTCAAGCTTCTCATGCCCTCAGATTGAAAAGTCCTAAGGGTATGTGCTACTTGTTTCTTGAATTGTGATGCCCTTTCTCAGGCATAAGAGAAGAAACTTCCAGTTTAGAAGCATTATATATAATAAAAACACTGCTTATATATAATAAAAACACTGCTTAATCTTTGAGGGAGGAAGGAATTTGCCCAATCCTGAAAATATCCCGGATGTCAATCTACCGCGAAACACTTGTTTGCAGGCAGTGATCAAAGGGTGAAGTGGTATTTACTTGCAACCTCTTTCTTTAATAGTCTGTTTCTGAATTGAAGAGAAATATTTAATTGACCTAATAAACTGCATGTGTAGTTCAAAGGAAAAGGCTGTACAATTTGTTTTTCCAGGGAGTTGGCCTAGCTGCAATGCTTGATTAGTTCCTGTTCTAAAGATCTTACACATCAGTGCAAGGGCCATAGCTAAAGCTTATTGAACATGGCCACACAGAATTGTTCCATATCATTGTTCCATCTAATTGCCTCTGCTTAGGAGGAGAGGGCTACTTCTTTACTTCAGCTATAAGTAAAATAAAAGTTTACAGGAAAAAGTTAGTAATTAAATTATTTCTTTATTTGCAGTCTTTAAAAGCAAAGACATTTTTCTCCCTGCCTTCCCTTTATATATATAGGAGAGAAATCTTCTGTACTTTTCCTGAGCACCCTCTTTGACTTTAATTTGTAGTCTCTAAGAAAAGTATAACTTGACTCTTTTGAGTTGTTCATGAATGATTTGAACTCAACTGCAGATCTCTGCCCTGAGATATTTAGGAAAGAAAATTCTTGGTACACTATTTAGTTTTTCTGTTTGCTAGAAGGAAACATTTGAAATGCAGTCATACTTGACATCATTTCTCCTGTTGCAGCTGTTCAGTCTCATCTCCTTTCTTACATAGGCTCTTCAGAGTAACCTGAAGTATTCACTATTGCCAAGACGTCTGATCATCAGTAAAAGATTATCTCAGTGTTTGCACCCAGCACTGCCTAGTGGAGTACACTTAAAGGCTCTAGAAACCTATGAAATAATCTTTAAAATTATTGGGACGAAATGGCTCGCCAAGGACTTATTCTTGTACAGGTAAGCTTCTTTTAAAAAGATTATTGTTTTTCACAGTGTGTTTTAAAATTAGGTAAGTAACTTCTTTTTCTTGTTGTCTTTATTTTTAAAAGCTCTGGTTTGTTTCCTCTGCTGGCGAATGCAGCAATGTCAGTGAGACCTGTTCTCCTTGGTTTGTATGAGAAATACTTTCTTCCTCTCCAAAAGTCTCTCCTACCTGGTCTTCAAGCCTTTGTAATTGGACTGCTGCCTGGGTTGGAAGAAGGATCAGAAATTTATGACAGGTAAGAACTAATGCCAATTTAAAACTCATAGACACCATACCTTTCTATTACTCTTCTATGAAATTCTCAAGAAAGGTCTGTTGACCATCTGTGTAAAGAGAGGGCTTCATAAATGACTTCTACAGGTGAAAGGATGATGAATCCCTGAAAGATACAAGGAGTAATACTAAGGTAGAAAACCCCTTTTCCCTTCTGTCTTCATTTCCAGATGAGAGAATAGGGGGGAAAAAAGAGCTTAAAATAAATCTGTTGAGAGAAGGGAGTGAAAAAATATGTTTAGAGGCTCTTCTAGACTCTTAAGTAACTACCTGTACTCCTCAAACCACTGCCCTGTCAACAGATGATTTATATATTGTAATAAAAGAGAGAACGGCTGAACTCTGTTATCTTTCCGGTCATTCTATGTTGCACGGTTACCCTCAGGCGTGGAAACTTTGGCAAGAGACAATTCTTCCATCATCTTTGTGGAAAAAGTATCTCAATTTTGGATGCACATGGCGGTACTGAGAATAACATTCAGTATGATTATAGTTGAGATCTGGAAGTGTGGTTGCTTCCTTAACTTTGTTCTGTTTCATAAAGATCTTGTAAAACTAAACCACTGTAGGTTTGATCAAAATGTTTCTCTGCTTAAAATAGTTGCTGAACTGCTGCATAGGGAACTCTCTTTTGAGAGTTTTCAGAATCTCTAATGTTTTGGGTTAGCCCTAATGCACCTCCCCTGTCCCTAGAAATGGCAGGAGTACTAGTGCAGATCATGCTCCAGCCAAGACTCTCTTTCCTTCTCATGCTTAAACACATGTATGCACACAAAACTGAAGCAAAAAAAAAAAAAGCCTTGATGGCTACTTTTATAAGGAGATGGGAAAATAACATCAATTCTCTTTTCTTCCACTTGCCATACTGAACTTCCCCTGTCTGCTCCAACTTCTCCATTCCTCCTGCAAGATTTCAATTCCTGTACATAATAAAATACTAGAGTACTGAGAAGAGTTGCCAAAGCAGAGAATGTGCCCTCAATCCTCTGGTGTAATTGCCTTTAATTTCAGTGTACCAGTCCTATGTGCCAGTGTCATTTTGTCTCATTTTTATTCATTTGCTGACTAAAAAATTGAATCCATTGATTTGTAAGTATGAGCATGCAGAATATTTTCCAATTTCCAGACAGTACATTGACTTTCAAAATCCAGAGTCAGCTTAAATTATTTCCAATTCAGGAACACACTTATCAACTTTATTTTAGTGAGCATGCGCAGTGGGAAAGAATTGAGGTGTGTGGGTTCTTTCTTTTGTGCAAGCAAATGCTGACCATCTTTGTGTGACAAGGGCAATACTGATAATGCAAAAAGGAAACTGATTCTGTGATCTAGAGTACTCATTGCCTATGTGCAGTTTTATAATGTAAAATTGAATTAACAAGAATGCATTTTCTCATATTAAATATTTTTCCATACAGAACAGATGCTTTGCTTGTGAAGCTCTCCTTATTAATGGGCAAGGAGGTGTTCTATGGAGCCCTTTGGGGCAGTGTTCTCGTCAGCCCATCCATCAGGCTGCCTGCTTCTCTCTTTGTAGTCAGTCACATCAACCGAGAGCAGTCTGGAAAGCAGCAGAGCTACATGCTCGGCACTGACTACAAGCTCACAGTAAGTTCACTGTGCCCCCGGGGGATAGTCTTAGCTATGCGAGCGCGTTGTGCCTTTTCTGTATTAAATTAGATCATGCCCTTTTACACTCTGTCTGGGTGAGAGTAAGAGAGGCTGGGAAATGTCCACACTTCAGAACAATTTAATGTGGTTACTTTATGGTTACCTAAGTACAGCAGAAATCCTCCCATGCAGATTATGATCAGCCTGCAGAATGTCAATCTTTGGAAGTGTCTGCATTTTTTGTTAATCACCAACTGCACGAAGCCTTAAAGGATCAACTGTGTTGTAAATCAGAGAATAACTCTAATATCTCCTTTACCTATTCTGCCTTTTTTTTTTTTTTTTTTTTTGTATTTAAGGTATTTCTTGAAATATTTTTCCAACTACAGGCACCTTCTGACATTATTTCAAAACAGCATTAGGAGGCTTTGCCCACTATGATTTTAAAGTATTTCGGTAATCTCAAGAGAATTCTGAAACATAGTATCTTTTCCCCCACAGCTACCACCTCCTCCTCCTCAGTCAAATGAAAACTGCATTAGGTGGTATTTTATGTTTTTCAGTGATGGAATAATTGTAATGCTGGTATAAATAATATCTGTATTTTGTAAGACATCACATTTTGTCTGACAGCTAGTGATGTCACATTGTGACACTCTATATTGTTACAAAACAGAGTACTATGTAATTATGAATGATACTTTAAGAGTATTCCACGAAAACATTTTTAAGTTTGTTCTGAAGGGAGGAAGGTGTGTGTGTGAGTGATTATACTCTTGACAAAAAAAAAAAAAATCTTGTGTGATCAGGGATCAGGTTTGACTTGTCTCCTGTTCCTTGTGGTTATTTATAGTGAGCATAGTTCATAGTTAACATTAAGTAAAACAGCACTGTGCTTTCTTCTCCTTTTATAGATCAAGTCTTTGTGTGTATCAGTATTGGATTCAAATGTCCTTGTCCAAAGAAACACTCTGGAAGTGATTCTCTTCTTCTTCCCATTTTATGCAGCCTTGGTAAGGGGACTATTTTCATTTGTGACAAGCGTGCTTTGTGGAACGGTGTCTTTTGTGAACCCTGTCTAGCTCCCACTTCTCTTACTGGAATCTTGTACCTTCAAAACCAGTGAATGGATGTGGGTGTTTTTTCCCCATCCTTTTTAGTAGCAGCAGAGACTGTTTCTGAAACTCTTTAGAGCTAAGCCAATTACACCCTCAGAATGTTTCAAATGCAGCTGTGTGTTGACAGAGCATGTTTCATATCTGCAATATGCTTGAAGTATTCGGGCCTGAGACACTGCACACAGAAAAAAATACAGAATTCCCCTGCACTGAACTACAGTATTTTCATAAGAGGCTAGGAAAACAAATTCTGCTTGAAACTCTAGATTTTCCCCACTGTTTCCTAACGTCAGGTATAGCATAATGAAGTCTTCAGTATTTTTAGCTTAATCATGGTTCTCCCTTATTTATGATGATAATCACATAACTCTGTGAGATTCCCTTTCTTGAGATTTCTGGCATACAAAAGTTTATTGGGCTTCGTGCCTCTTTTTCTTTCAAAACACTAATAATCCAGTTTAAAAAGTTTGTCACCCATTTGACATGTTCCAGTGCTTGTAAACAGCTCAGTTTCTTTGCCCTTGCTCCTAGGACTGCAATGAAAGTGCTATCCCGTTGCACAGGACTGATTTAGTTTATATTCTGTCATCAGCTACACAGACCCTGCTGAGGAGAGACATGTCACTCAACAGAAGATTGTATGCATGGTTGCTAGGTACTGTACAACTTACAGTGACATTCACTATACTAGATATCCTAGAAAAATTCAATGCTTAAAAATGCAGTATGCTTTTTCAGCAGTTGAACGATAATGATAAAATAGAAAGCATTGTTTAGTTGCCATTTATGAAGCATTGGTCTAATAAAATTATACATTCATTTGGCAAATAGGTCTTCTCTTCAGAGGTTAAATTCATTCCATTATCCTGAATTACAGGATCAAATCTGATGGATCAATTCTAGTCCCCTTTGTGGTTCATTCTGAAGTGACTAACTGGTATGAATACAGTGGGAAGCAATATTATCCCCGCTCTTCAAAAACTGGTAGTGTTTTAAAGATACCCAGAGGGGTTTAAGTGTCAAGGAGAGGCTGTGAAGGAGCTTCCCCCTATCTGCCTTTCTCCAGCAGTATCAAAGAAGTGATGTGGTAAGTTGCAACCATGTAGTTGCATGAAGGTTAGGGCTGGATCTGAGCTCTATTCCTGGATCTGAGCTTGGTTTCAATTCAAATTGAATGCCTCAAACTGTCTCTGGGCAATATGTGAGTTGGTTCCAAGCAGAACATTAGAACAAAATATTTTAAATCTATACAGGTTAAAATTCCAAAGGGTTTTTAAAAGTAAAATGTGCAGTGTGACTTCGGTGTTTGTATAGTTGATATTAAATTGTGCTCTGGAAATGTGGTGTTTCTCTGTAGTAATGATACCTTTTATTTAATTTGTAGGTTCTGATATTAAAGGGGATACATTTGCTCCAGACTCTACAAATTCTGAAGACCCAGCTACTTATTTCTTTGGAAAATACTCCAAAGATGTTTTAGTTGAGGTCAGTATTCATTTTATATAAATAGAGTTATGATATTTTTAAACTTCAGAGCAAACTGTGTCTGGTTGTCCGCTGTATGCTGTGTTTGGTTGTCCTTCAGAGCTTCAAAGATGGAACCTTTTGCTGTTTATACTTTAATCTATGTAAAGGTGTTCTGTGCTGCGCCTGCCCAGTTGTTATAGGTGCTTTCAATATAAGCAGAATCCTGTGAAACTAAAGAGTTGCATAACTGAAGGACTGCCTGAATTATTTAACAATGTTTTTCCAAATAAGTTCTATTCTTGCGTGTATTTTAGGAGAGGTCTTTGATTTGTCTGACAAGTGTGGATAATAGAAGTTGTCTTGTAGCTTGTACTAAAGAAAAGAATCAAGCTTGGGAACACTTCAGCTGTTAATAAAATGGCAGTATTTTTTTTTCATGTAACATTTAGACATTTTCTTTTTTAATAGAGTTTGGTTGAAATATTGCATCAGAAGTTCTCAGAGTCTGATATGGAGGAACGACATCAAGCTTATTTGAAACCTTTCCGCATCTTAATCAGTCTCCTTGACAAACCTGAAATAGGTAACATTATTTGTCACTTCTGTTGCAGCTGCTGAAGGCTGCCATTATGATGACCTTACATTACCTTTGGAAGCAGGACTTGGGCAACAGCAGGCAGAGTTCTTCCTAATTCTGAATATATGTATGTGTGTGATATGTTACTGTGCAGTGCACTTGTTTTCCTTCCTGTCATTCCAAAAAGTGTGACACCAGTTCAGAGCAGGGTCCAACCTGAGTTGTGAAGATGAGTTGCCTCCGTAGCTAACATCCTGCAGGTGACGCTGCCCTGTGTAGCAGGGGTGCATCCCAGTGAGGATGACTTCTGCGCCCAGAACTGCAATCGGGGTTATATTTATCGGGATTATCAATATTCTACTCAGTTCATTCCTTGGAGTTTGTTTTCTAATTATTCCGATTGGCATTTTTTTTCCTCATTTATCTTCTATCTTGAGAAAACTACCAGTGCTTTCTTGGGTTTGTCTCCAGCTCTTGGCTGTGCTTGCAGGCTTCCTGTACACTTGCATCAGACTCTTGTGACCATGATGCTTTTCTAGACACTGTAGTCACAGAGGCAGCTCATGGTGTTGCTGCTGCTGAAATGGGCAGAGCCACTTAACCTGCATTTGCTTCAGCAAGAAGAGGCCTGTTATGGGTGTGAGGAGGTGGGAGCACTTGTGTCAGTGGCCCTGCAGGCCTGCGCTGACCCAGTGCTGCTCTAAGAGCTGTAGTTTGAGACTGCATGACTAAGCAGTGAAGAACTTCCTCCTCTTTCTGGGGCTGTCACATGCCTGTCCTGTGTTGTGTACCATGAAGTCTCCAGCTCCACGAGGGGTGAGGTCCTGCCAGCTGTTTCCTTAAAGGGCAAGTTCTCCTTTTACGGCTGTGTTTACAAAACAGCAACAATAATAAAAATGGCAAAAGTGACATGATGGATTTGGGGGATTTAATGGTACTTTGCAAGAACCTTACACAGAAAGGGGTCTTCTTTTTTATTAAAAAAAAAAAAAAAAGGCATTGCTTATGACTTCTGGCAAGTATGGCTTGGAGGGGGGCCGGATTTTACCATTGACCAAAGCTGATATGTACAAGTGTAATCAATGCTAAATGCTCTAGTAGAAATTGGTTTTGCAGGCTCCACATGCGGCAAGACCATGTTCTATCATGGATCAGGAAAGTCCTTCTAAATACATCTCCTGTTAAAGGATTATCATTGCACTCCCAGGAAAATTCAGGATTCGGTTTTATTTATCTAACAAATAAATGCTATCTGAGCAGAAGCAGTCAAAGCAGTTGTTAATCTATTTCTAAGGCAGAGGTACTACTGCCTCTTTCAGCTGTAGATATAATTCAAAAGGATACATGTCCATTTATACGCAATTGCAGATAAGAATAAGCAGTGCTGACCCTTGAAAATTAACTTGGATATCTATTTATAGTATATTTACGCACCCGAACTTGCTTAATTGCTGACTTTTCCAGCTTCTGTTTCTCCAAAAAATTAACCAGGGTGATAAGTTAAACGCAAACTGGGAAACCTTCTCCTTGTCTTCCTTCCTGCATCCAGACCTGGTGGTTATTTTTGGTAGGTCAGCTGCAGGTTTACCACATGTATGCCAGTTTGTAAATGGCTGAGGTGTGACTAAGCCATTATCGGTTTAATTGTAATGTCTAAAGTCTAATATAGAAGCAATGCTATTGCTTTCCAAATAATGCCTTGAAGCTATAAAATGAGCAGTTGCGAAATTTAAATTGTAAAGTTTTATTTAACTAAGGTGTTTTTAATATCTGACATAGAAAGTAAGCATTCTTTCCCTGATTTAGTATTCATGTGATTTCATTTTAGTTATCTCTCATTTAAGTCTAAAAAGTTGCCACTGAATAGCCTTCCAATCACTTTGGTGTAATTACTGATTTTTTTATGTTATTTTTCTTTCCTCCTTTCTCAAATGTAGGGCCACAAGTGGTTGGGGATTTGTTCCTTGAGGTGATTAGAGCCTTTTATTCCTACTGCAGAGAGGCACTTGGTTCTGATCTCAAACTTAGCTACAATCAAAGTGGGAACATCCTTACAAGGTATAACTACAGGTTTTCAACTGCTAACTGAAACTGTATCCTTTTTAATAAAGGATAACTTTATAAAATCTAACCAGTTTAAGGGAAGTGAAGCTTTTAGCAGGCTTAACTTCCTTTTTTCTATGACTTTCTGTGTATTTCCCCACCACATTTGATATCTGCACCACATATTGATATCTAATTTGGTAGAGAGTGAAAATTGCTGCCTATCATTGATAAATCCATTCATATTAGATTTATAAATCAGTTTGGTAGCACAGCTCCTAGGAACTTCAGATTTTCAAAGTTAAAGATTATCTTTCTTTTGTCTTGGAGAAAGATGCTCAAAATTTAGTACCCATAGATGATTTAGTCCTTGAATTAAAATGATTCCATGTTTTTAATCCTATGAAATAAGGTAATTTTTTTCAATGGGACAGATAATACTGTAGTATGCATACTGCTAGAAGAGTCATTGACATTTCTTTTTTCTGCTCTCACAGTGCAATTAAAGAGAATAAAAATGCTTCAGAAATTGTGAAAACAGTCAATTTGTTGATCACATCCTTGAGCACAGATTTTCTTTGGGATTACATGACCAGATGCTTTGAAGATTGTTTCAGGTGACTTATCAAATGACAGTGCACAAAAAAGTGCTGCCTAAGAGCTGTCTGTAAAACTATAGAGAAACTTCTGTAGTGGGTAAAAATAGTGGTGGGGTCATGATATATGTTAGATATGTTTATTGCATCCTAAAATAATTCAAGAACGGAAATAGGTAAACAATTGCATGAGAACGAACAAAAAAATAATTACTGAAGGGGAGAAGTGGGAAGCGAGGGATGGGGGGAAGGGAGGTATTTTTTTTTTCTTCCTTTGAAAAATAAATGTTTTCAAGGAAGAATGAAAGAAGAGAGAGGAAAAAAAAAGTATCTCTATTTGTCTCTCTCAAAATATCAGCATTAGTATTATACTTCAAAGTAGTAAGACTGTCTATAGAAATTCAAGTGGAAATTACAATCCCTGTAGCATTTTATGTACAAACTGTAGTTTAAGTGTTTTTGATAGAATGTATTAGGAACCCATTTTACTTCAGAGGTCCTAGCTGTTCGGTGTTGTGAGCTGGCTGATGTTGTTTTGCAATAAGAATTTCAACAGAAAAATGCTTACAAAATAATGTCTCTCAATGCCAGAAACAAATCCACAAAGATGAGATATCCTCTTGAAAACGTTAGCGCTCCTCCGACGGTTTCAGAACTCTGCACACTGTTGATGTTTCTGCTTGACGTGATTCCTTTGGTAAGGCAACCTCAAGTTAACTGCTTCAAAATATTAGATATTAAAACCCAAGAAATTCATATTGTGACTACCCAAAATGGAAATAGGTAAATTGTCATAAATGCGCATGTGCATGACATGTTCAGCAAACTTCATGTGCTTGCTCATATACCACGATTCTTGCAATTGCCTAGCAAAATAAAATTGGTTGCCTTTTAAAATATGGTGATTTTGTAAAGCAATCTTAGTTTTGCCTCCTTAGGCAAATAATTTTCTGGGGGTATTTTTTGTCTTTTAGTAGCTGAGTGAGTATGCTAGGATTTTTAGAGTGTGGTTCGGTGCTAATCATATAGAATGAAGAAAGAAAGAATAATTCTGAAGCAAGTTTGTACAACTTAACCATTGATGGACTGTTTTTCACTCCTTAGTCAATGTTGCTAGGCAGCTGAGTAATAATGAAATATCTAGTACAATACTTAACCATTTCAAACAATGCTTATTTGTTTTAGGAACTCTACTCAGAAGTGCAGACTCAGTATCTTCCACAGATGCTTTGTTATATGGTACAGTCTCTCCTTGAAAACGTGGAAATACTAGGTTTACCAGAACTCACTCATGCCTTAAAGACTTGTTTTAAGGTGTTGAGCAAGGTGCAAATGCCACCTTCCTATTTGGACATTGAGACAGGCAGTGGAAATGGGGTAAGTGTTTCTCATCTATTTACAGATGTTTATAATTATTAGTGGCATATTTTATTTTAAAATGCTAAGTCTCCTGTTCTAAATTATACCTAGATTATGGCAACAATATGTGTATCCCCCATCAGAGCTCTTCTGTGTCTTGTAAATTTTACAGTGAATCAAATTCTATATCCTTCACTGTCACAATAGCTCAAATAAATTAGTCTTGTTCAAAACTGGGACTGTAGTCCTGCCTCTTGAAAAGAGTGTCATTTCTTTGGTGTAGAAAAGGCAGCCTGCAGCAGGTAGTCGCAAAAGATTAAACTTCCCAGATCAAGCACTGCTTTACAGCTGTTGAGGTCTTTGAGGCTTCCAGTCATATGAACATTTAGGATAATTGTACATTGTAATAATAATGTGGTTTGGGTGCAGAAGACTGTGACAGGGAATGAGGTTTCCAGCTTTCCCAAGGTTTTCAGTAGAATGAATAAATAAATGCATCCGGTCAGAAATAATCAAGCATAAACGATATTGTCCTAACAGTGGACTGGTTTTAAGGCAGCGCTTTCATTTGCTGCACATCTGATGATACAGATACCCTGGCGTTTGAGTCAAGGCATGAGGACTATACAAACATTAGGTTTAAATGCAGTTGAACTACTTAGCAATAACCATATGTCATTTTGTAAAAGTAATCTGGATCCAGGCTTTTTTTTTTTTTTTTCCTCCTTATTATTGTTCCCCCGTGTCTGCTATAGTTTTACATACTTTAAAATGACCTCTGCAGGGCCATATTCATTAAGGGTTATGTTTCTGTTTCAGAGTCCGGTGAAAAAGGAAGATGGGGACATAACCTTGGAGACTAAGTCTGTGCTGCAGGAAGAGGATGAGACTCCGTTTGCTCCCCTGAAGTCAGAAGACAGCGGGATTGGTCTAAGTGCCTCTTCGCCAGAGCTGTCTCAACACTTGGGGCTGCCAACAGTGACCCTTGAGAGAGATGATGTCTGGAAAAAAGGGGGCAGCATTCAGAAGACTTTGCATTGTGTGCAAGAGCTGGTTGCCAAGTTTTCCAGTAAATATATTTTTGGGGTGCAGTTACAAGAGGCAAATAATGAAAGCATATTTGCAATGCATCTGGGTGCAAGAGAGAAAAAGGAGAATGGCTACAGATTGCCTGAAAGTGCTAGTAAGAAAAAGAGCCCATGGGAGGCCAGGCAAATCACCGTACCTCAGTTTAAACAAATGCTTTCAGACTTGTTCTCAGTTCGAGGATCACCATTCAAACAGAAGAGTTCAAATCCCATTTCTTCTGACCGCAAAAAGGAAAAGGAGGAAGAAGAGTGGGACTTGGAGCAAGTGATGCTTGTGCTAGGGTCCCTTAGAGGAGACTGCAAGGAAGCTTTTGCTGCAGCCTGTCATCTTTTGCTGGATTGTACCACATTCCCAGTGTACCTTTCAGAAGAGGAGATGGAACAGTTGTATGTCTCTCTATTTCAGATTCCTGGTAAGAAAAAGTTGTCTTTCACTGGACATCATCATCATTTGAGGATGCAAATAGCAGTATGAGCTGAGTCATTTGCAAGAGGTGTAATGGGGCCAACAGTAGTACCTTTCAGGCTGAAAAGCTGTATGTGAATTCAAAACTGGTGGTTTATTTTTTTGTCTTTTGACTTAGAAAAGATTTTTCACAACTTTAAATTTGCTTTCTTTTGAATTTTTTTCACTACAAAACTTGCAGTTGGAGGGATGAAAAGGCCCTCTGGTCCTTCTTTCCCTCCTTTCCTGCTAGTGGAGGAGCTTGTGGTAAGGTTCAGGAGTTTGGGGAAATACAAATGGAGTGTAACAGACAGAGAAGGGTTGCAGACAGAGGGCTATCTGGAGCCTGAAACACAAGCAATACAGCTCTTTCCTAATCCTTTGAGCTGAAATGAGTTGGGTGTGAGTTGACACACAAGAATAATCTGTGTGATTGGAAGCCTGTTTGTTCTGGCAATTCAAGTCTATTAACTTTAGGACAGGATAAGTTTTCAATGGATGGGAGTGGGGGAAAAAAAAAAACTTGAATTCTCTTTCTTACCTTTCTACGGATTTCTGCTGTCTTCGTTGGTACAGTGCTGTTATGCTGATTAGCTGCACAGGTGACCAATCTGCTTGATACTGTGGGTTGTTCTGTGTGTGTATTTGCAGTGCCTTCTATATGGCCAGTAAAGGTCTCACAAGAACCTGCTGCTAGGAGTAATAGGGTCTTGTCTGAAGAGTATAACTTGTTTTGAAGAGAGTCCTTCTGAAGTAAGGAATTTTTGTGGTAGAATCACAGCTGCATTCAGGCACTTGGTTTTGTCTTTTACTCCCATAAGGTTGCTTGAAGAAATTTTGGAAACATAACCGTAACCTTTAGATTATTCCAGAATGTTTTTCTCACTTATCTTCTGAGGTGGTGATGCCAGCTTCCCTTTGTGGCTAAAGTCCTTAATGACGATTTGCTGCTGCGTAAATGACTGCTACGTCCAAAATGTGTCCATCTCCACACTGCTGGAGGTGATCAACCATTCCCAGTCCCTGGCGCTTGTGATAGAAGACAGAATTAAGAGGTACAAAGTCTCTGGCCACAACCCCTTCTTTGGAAAGCTACAAATGGTCACCCTTCCTCCCATCGCCCCAGGAGTTCTAAAGCTCATCTCGGAGAAAACAGATTTCTATCAGGTAGCAACGTTTTTTTTGTTGTTTTGCCTTTGCTACCCAAATGCACTTTATTTTGGGAGGGAAGCAGTCGTTACCATGCTAAATATTTGGGGAATGTCTCTTTACAATGCTCTGCCTTTGACATTTTTTTTCCCCATAAGCACTTCAGAGCAGTTGTTCTCATATTCATGTGCTCTACAGCAGGATATACAAAAGACACTAATTTTCAAATGGCCAGTTGGGTTTGTGCTCAAATTCTTGGGGGAGGAGAGTTGATTTTTGACTTGAAGGGTTAGGTTTTGTCAGTCTGAAAGCTTCGTACTGGAAAACTTTGGTATACCTTTAAGTTTTCAGATGAGAGAAATTGTTAGTGGGTGGAAGGTATTGAAAACATTGCTTCCTTTTTGTCTTAACGTTATCCATTTCAAAGATGTTTTCCTTATCCTGACCATTTACTGAGTTTAGTGCTGGTGTGAGGGTGGGTCCCATGTTTGGTTTGGTTTCTGTTCTTCCAGCTACACATGCATCACCTGTTAAGTTTTGACCCAGAAAATCATAGAATGAAAATAGAAGCAAAAATGCTTTCCTCAACTTTTGGTGGATGTATACCTGAATTACCTGTAATTCCTGGGTAGGAATGCTTCATTCTTTAGGTCTGAGTTTATGACCTGATTTCTTGCTCTTTGCTAAACTAGGAAGATTTGGAAATCCCTTTCAGTACTCATGCAATGGAAAGCTTTTTAAGTCAGTGGCGCATCTGACTGCTATTTTGTTTGTTGTTGTTATTGTGCCCTAGAGAATAGCTTGTGTGCTCTGGAATCAGCTGAACAAAGAGACACGGGAGCATCATATTGCCTGTGTGGAGCTGTTCTACAGGCTCCACTGCTTGGCACCATCAGCAAATATCTGCGAGGACATTATCTGCCATGCACTTTTGGATCATGATAAAGTAAGTCCTGTATTCTCCAAAGCTCCTTCATCACTATTTGGGTGTCACAAAGCTTCCCAGACTGTCCCCAGTTGGCTTCCAGTCTGGTTCACACTCATGTGATCCCTTTGTCTCCTATTTAGTAGCTCTTACAATGGCTAGGCTATGTTTAAAGTGAGCAGGTTCTTATTTGTATTACTTCCCCACTTTAATAACAGAACAGTTCTTTTGTAACTTACGTTTTATTTGTAATAAATGCCTTTCACAATAAAATTTGCAACAGCATTTTTAGTCTTAAGTATTATCTTCATATATTCGCTCTTGTAATTTTGAACCTTAAAAAAAATGTTAATCTGTTCACACTTTTCAAGCAAAATTATCAATACCAAGTACTGCTTGATGTAGCAGTCTCTTCCCATTGGTCATCTAACTTTTAAGTCTCCTTAGCTCCAAACCAAGACTGAAATGTTTATACACAAGGGTGCTGACTTTTTTTTTTGAAATAGCGGTATATCTTTTCTGTTTATTACAAGCATTGTAAGTGGTAGGTTTTGGTCTGGCCTTCATGGACATGTGACTTTTTTTGTTTTACTGTGCTGCGAAATAGAGAAACGTTTTCAATCTACGCAAGAGAGATTACTAGTCTATACATTGACTATTGTTAAAAATGACTAATGCTTGATTCAGTGATAAATGCTGCAAAAACACCCTGTTTTGTTTTCATGAAAAGGGGACGAGGTTGGAAGCACTGTTCAGATTCTCTGTCATGTGGCATCTGACCAGAGAGATTCAGGGCAGCAGAGTGACTTCTCACAATCGATCCTTTGATAGGTATTTTCCATTTCTATTTGCTTAAGCTTGTGTGTATGTGTTTTGTCATATTATGCTTGGCTCTGTTATTCTGTTTCTAGCTACATGATCAAAATTAAAATCTTTTAAATCCGTGATTTACTGACTTTGACTGCTCAGTGCACATGGCACACTTAATCCCTTTATTTCTTGTCTGAAGGAACTTCCTGTAAGAGTATAAACAATATCATATATAAAGAGTAGTCTGTGTACTGACAGGTTTCTTCATAGTTGGCATTTTTCCCTCTTGATGGATTAGATTCGATTTTTCCATAGAAAATGAAACTAGAACCAGCTATCTGCACCCAAAAAATTCTATATTTTAGACTTGAATGACTTTAGCTGCAAGATTGTAGCCTTTGTGTAAAATGGGGCCAAAGCAGTAAAGACCTTTCTAAACATGTGGAAAACTTAAAAATATGCTCTTGTTCTCAATTGTAAATATGTGTACGGCCTTCCTTTTATAAATGCATGAATACTTGAATTCAACTCAAGAAAATGCTGGGCATAATCAAGTTATTGTTAGTGAAGATAAGCCATTGGCCAGTGCTTGTTTGAACACACATTAAAAGAGCATCATTATAGCATTATAGCATGCACCTGTGTCTGTTCCCTGCCCCTATTTTGTTGTTTGCATTAACCTTTTCAGGACTTCCAATTGTACTTCCTCGTTCTGATTTCTCCACTCAGGTCTCTGTTTGTGGTACTGGACAGTCTCAATTGCTCTGATGCAGCAATTGGTGCCGCAGCGCAGGGCTGGCTGATCCGTGCTCTCTCCCTTAATGATGTCGCACGGATCCTTGAACCAGTCCTGCTGCTGCTGCTTCATCCAAAGACACAGCGCACCTCCATCCACTGCATCAAACAGAAAAATTCAGCAGGTAATGCTGTTCTTAGACTGAAGCTGCAAGTGCTGATGTAGCACGACATGCTCCTGAACACTCCCTGGAGATGGCATTCCGATAAAATGAGTTGTCTTGCAGCACTTTCTAGATTTCTTTTCATCCAAGTATCTTTAGTGACGCTTAAAACAGAGTTCAGGAGCAAGTCATGCTAGCTCAAGGCCTAAGGACCATATTCTGTCACAGCAGCTGCACCTGCACTGTAGGTTTGGAGTGGCCCCTGCTTTGCTTTGGGGTCTTTTCCCCATACTTCTCATCCTCTTCCCCAGTTGATCCACACTGCATGCATGTTCACTGTTCACATGATCCCTTCTCCAAACTCTAGGTCTCCAAATAAACCAAATTCAGGAGCAGTTTGGAGATTTCAGGCCAGAAACTATTTGCATAGACAGGATGGACAGACAAATTTTATTTTTCTCTGCACTGTCTTATTCCACCATGTACCCGTGTGCCAGATTTCTTTATTTCTCGCATTTCTTTATATGCCTCTTAGTGAGGGAATCATTAGCAAAAATAGTTGGAGAGATTGAGGTACATCTTGCAGTTCGGGGCACACTCCGTTAAAAATATGATTTTGTTAAATTCTGAAAATTAAAAGCCTTTGGCCAAAGGAGATCCTCGTTGAATCAAGGGGAGAGCTGAGTCTTTGTGGCATGTGACTTGAGACATCCCAGAGCTAAGATGTAGAAGCAAGGGGAAAACTTTGCATTTGAAGGTGACCTCCATCTACCTATAGGATGTGGTAGAGCATACTTGTCCTGAGGGACTACATTTGGCAGGTGGAAGGTAAATGCCTGTTTTAAGACCCATAATGAAAATTCTTGTGAGCCACAGGTGGTGATGACACAAGTATGAAACAGACAAGTGGTGTGACAGAGGCCTGTGGGGAAATGTCAGGAGACTAGGATAGGTATGGA